TTGTTAAACATTCAGTTTGCCATGGATTCAAATGGGAGATGCTTGGAAATGTAAAGCAAAAATAAAAAAATGAGTTTTCTTTTTGGGTGTATTCAGCTATGATGATGAGGATTCCAAGTTTTGGTTTACCATTGCAGTGTTCCCGCCTGAAGGGGAGGAAAGGCTGTGTCTCCTCGGCACGCTGGGAGAGCAACAATGATGCTTTTCATTATTTTTTTCCACAGGGCTGTGGTTCTTCAGTTTTCTTGGGGGAGATGAGAGGTTGCAGTGAAACCTGTGAATGTGAAAGATTATAGAACTGTCTGCTCAGCAGACCCAATGCATTCCCTAATGTCCTAGGAATGTTCAAGTATTTCTGGTAGTTGCGAGTAGTTAATGCACTTTTAGGTGCTGTTAGCAGAGCTTACCTTGTGGTGATAGTTTTTGTAACAGTCAGTTCAAGAAGCAATTGATATGTGCTTGGCCTGAGTCTGCTGGATCAGGACATCCTTTGATTTTGTGCCAAAATGATGGACTCATGCATTTAGTGCATGGACAATTATTTGTTCAATTTACATCATGATTTTAAGTTATTTAATGTTAAATTAATTGCATGTAAAGTAGACTTAGAAAGATGGTATTTGGTTTTTTGTTTGTTTTTGACTGTGTAGCTGAAGGATTTCACTTCTGTGCCATTGTTGTATTTTTTAGACAAATCTCATGCTAACTGGATAATTTCTTATTCTGGCATGTATCTCGTAGACTTCTGTGGCACATTGCAAGGTCAAAATTGCTATTTTGTGAACGAATGTTTTCATAGATAGAGTTATGAAGGCCTGGAGAAAAAAAAAAAAAAGCAGGGTGGCTATGTTTCAATGCCTTCCATAGGTTAGACATAGAACATATTCCTCTCAGACTTTGGAATCTCTGGCTTCCAACCTGGCTAGACAACTGATAGCACCGTATAGAATTCTTTCAATTGGATGTCATGCCAGGACTTCTCCCAGGTGAAAGTTGTCTTTATTTTGTTTGGCCAAAAAAAGATGTTTGGACTTGTTCTAGTTTCTGAAGAAAGGGTGAGGTCTCCTAAAGTACAGCTTTTTTTTTTTTTCTTTTTTTTTAGCCTGAGTTAAGACTGTGGAGCTCAAAACTCCCTGCCGTATCTTGTCTAATATCTTTCTTTCCTGAGGCAACAAAAGTCAAGTGACAGCTGTGGAGCAGTATGCTTTCAAAAACAGTGTCTTAATTTCATTAATTCATACAGTGGTACTTCATCTGTCGTTAACTTAGGAGCAGGGTTCTTGTAATATGTTCTGTTGATAAAGCGAGGCCATCTAGAAATGAATTGTGTCTAGCTATAACCAAAATTCTCCTGTACAAAAGTATAAGAAAAACTTTCTTCTGTGGCATTCAATTGATGTGGCAGCCGTGGAAATACTCCATCATAAATTGAATTTTCCTTCAGCATTTGGCATCACGCTCCTAAAAGAAATGAGGAGGCACTGATCACTTAAACCTATCAGTTCCTAACACTGTTTTGCTATTCATCTGAGATTTCCTGACATTTCTAGAATAGTTCCTTGAACAGTACAGCGTGAGGTGTATGTAAGGTGATGAATGCTGACTTTTTCCCCCTCAACTAGTTTTTTAGAATTCTTTTGTGGTTATGCAAATACTTGCCTTGTGACAGAACTTCTTCCTTGTTAGCACTACCCCTGTGTTGCTTAGAGGATTCACCTGTGAGTTGCTGTTTGCTGGGACTGGGTGATTTTCCTGTGACTTCATCTTCTGTAAAAAGCTATAGCTAAGTTCAGCAGTTCAGAAGTAGTATGAAGTCACAGGGCTATAAACCATCCATTCAGACCCCATTATTGGGAGATTTTCAGATTTTTGATCTGGCTTAATTTCTGATAGATCTTGTGTTTGCTGTAGTAGCCCAAGGAACTGCCAGAAGTGCACATATCAGAAGATAAAGGAAAATTGGCAAAGAGGTCTTGTCACGCTGGTTGACAGGTAAGTTTTTAATGTTTACTAAAAAGCTGGCATCTTTCAAAAGCTCAAGCCAATTAAATCATTACTCACAATTTTCAAATTGGCTTTGAGTGGAACCCCTACTCAGTTAACATCTGAAAATCTGCACCCTAGAAGCACAAGGCATTTCTGAAATGGCATGTGCTGAACTGTTAAGTGTGTAAGGAAATACTCCAGGTGATAACAGGACAGATTCTTATACTGGCATATGGTGATGTCAACAAAAAGAAAAAAATCCCTGCAATCCTATTAAAATAATTGCTGCTGCAAGGTAATTAACAGTGGTATCAAAACAGATACAACATCTCTGCAAAGGTTACGGTCAAATACAGGTCGTTTTCTCAGAGCAATATTTCTTTCCTGGTACCTTTACTTGGTTACTTCTGAATCTGACAGTGTAATCCAAGTGCTGTCACTTTGTCTGCTGGATGCTGATTCTATTGTGGACTCTACTGCAATATTAATGAAAAAGCATAATGTGGCTGGCTCAAAGACATAATGCTTTCTATGCTTTAGCCAGTTGGAAACGGTTCAATTTCTAAAGAATAGCAATATATTTTCAAATCTGAAAACAAACAAGCAAAATGCTTCCTTGATCTTTATCTATTAAATTGAAAATGAAAATTAAATTGGAGGGTTTTTAATAGTTTAGATAGTAGCCTCCTCCTTGTGTGCTTTTTATCAGCTTATGTAATACACTGTTCTGTATTATAAAAAAAAAGGTCTAGAAACATTTAAGTAACTTGAATTATTTTTAATTGTAGTACAACTGTGACCTAATGTACTTCAATCTTTGGATTACTGATGTTCTGGCTGTTAGCTTGTTGCCAAACTGTGTTCTGTTACTACAGCATTTTTCCCTGGTAGTGAAGACGTAGCATGATAGACTGGAGTTTGTTCCCTGTTTTTAGTTTTGGTTGGCCTTCAAGATAATTCATTTCAGACATTTCCCATTTTTTCCACTTGTGGCATGGGATTAATTGCTTTAACGCTCTTGAAAAATACAGCATCTGCTTAGAAGGATAAGCTTGAACCTAACCTGTGTGATACCTGCCTTCCATGAACAGACACTATGCATCACTTCAGATGCAAGGCTTGGCCTGCTCAATCCATCTGGAGCAGAAATGGTTAGCTGAAATTTAGTTTGAGTTGTGAGTGAATGGATGGGAGAAGACGAGATTGAGTCAAAACCTCTTTTTGGTACTATGTGCTTGGGGATGGGGGGGAATGTCTTCTGTGACTGTCATAAGTATCTGAGACTGGCATGAAAAGCCCTTGGTCTTGGAAGGATCATCAAGTTGAGGCTTTTCACAAACCAGCAGTATCTCTCCTTGCCTAGCCTTGATATACATTTTCTGGAGCCTCGTTCAGAGTTCCATTTTTTTACATTCATTGCAGGATGAGTTTCAGCAACTGATGGAATTGTTTGGTTAAAACAGGAGAATCGCTGGTCAAATCTCATAACCCTGGAGACGAGTATAAGTCCAGTTTCTGTGACAATCTTCGTAACTCCCTTGATCTTGTTATTAGTAAACAATTGGCAAAGCAGCTTTTATTTAAAGCCTAACCTGCATTCAGGGCTGTCTCAGCACCTCAGAGATTGGTGGAGTCACTTGGAAATACTGAAGTTTTAGAATCTTAAAGCTGTATTTTGAAACTAGTTTTGTCAGAGTAAATGAGTTTCTCCACATTTAAAATAAATAAGAGCATTAATAATAAAATTTATTTCTAAGCGCCATAGGAGTGTTCAGACTTAAGATTCAGATCCTGTGGGTTTGAATAAAAGGCTTTTCAGTGACAAAATATTTCTGAAAGTTCCCAAGAGAGCAGATGCTTCGTGTAGATTAAAACTTGCCTTTAATGCAACTTCAGGAGGGCATGATGGGACAGTATTCCCTGGGGACTTCAATAGCGATGGCATTTGTTTTGTTTTTAACAGGAGTTTCTTATAGATCTTAGCTTAAAAAAGTAAAGTAACATGGTCCTGTTTTTGTAGTGGTAGCAGTTCAACTCTTTCCTGAGTAGGCTGATTAAGGCTGATTATTCAATTGATTTCATGTTATACGTGGAGTGAAGCAACACAACCATAAGTTGCGATTTCCTGACCAAAAATGAGTATTTTTAAGATTTTAAATCCAAAGTGTTTGGAGGGTATTAAAGGCTGTTAGCGCAGATTGGGAGCGACGTCCGGAGCAGACACGGGTGTTCTTTCCCTCTTCCTTAAGCACGTACCATTGAAGCACTAATGAAAGACGCGTTTCGCCGGGCGGTCCCTGTGCGTCCGTTTTGGAGCGAAGCGATCGGCGAGGCCTGCTGCTGTGCGGCCTGGAGATTCCGCGTCAGACTGAGGCGGAGCTGCGGTTCCGTGCAGCCGCACGGCTGGGCGCCCCGCTGCTGAGGGGAGACGCTCCGCTCAGCGGACGGCGTCGTGCGCCGCGGGCTGGCGGCTACGGCCTCGCCGGACGCTCCGGCACCGCGATGGCCGCTACGGCTATTGTTCGAACGTAGATTGGTGCGCTCCGAGGAGCTCTGCGGCTACTGCAGGCCAGGTTCCCTCCCAGCGTGGGCACGGGCGTGAGGGATGCAGGGATGGCCAAACGGCTGGTGGCACGGGCGCAGATGGCCCGCGGCGCCTGAGGTGAGGAGCGGCCTGCAGAGGGAAGCGGCGCGGTGACTTTTGTGTCGTCTCACGTGCGGAGAAGCCAATCCCGGTGCACCTTAAGTGAGCGGCGCGTCCTTCCGCCAATCGCTAACGAAAGCCCTCATCGCGCAGGTGCGGTCGGTTGCTGTGGTGCCGACGTATTGCTCGACCAATGAGATTTAGGGGATGAGGCGGGACGCCTCAGAATAGACGGCGAGGCGGGCCGAAGAATAGAGTGGCAAGGCGTTGTCGAATAGAAACTCGGCGTTGTGTTTGAACCGTCCACTGAGAGGATAGCTAGGGGGGCGGGCCTTACGCGCTGCATAAAAGGTGCGGCAGGGGCGGGCGGGGGCTGCATTTGTCACCGGCAGCGGTGAGGGTACGGCTAGGGGGGAGGGAGCTCCGTTCCCAGTACCGTCTCTTTTCACCACCGCCTTAACGGAGCCCTTCCCCCGTCTTCTCCATCCTTGCCGCAATGACCACCACAACCATCTTCTCGGGCATGGACCCCAGCGGCAGGAACAGCTCCAGGTCCGCAGGGGAAGAAGGGGCTCCGAGGCCTTCGGGATCGTTAGGGCGGCGCGTGGCGGGGCTGCGGTTCCCCGTCAGCTCAGGCTCTGCAGGCGGCGGGAGGGAGCAGCGGACGGACCCCGGGGCGACGCCGGCCGGGGAGGCACGAGCAGCGGCTGGGTCGGGGCTGGGAACACACCGGGCCGAGCAGGAGGCGGGGGCGGGCCGCACCCAGCGAGGGCACAGCCGGCCGTTTCGGGGCTCGGCAGGGAGGGGAAGGGACCGAGCCACGCGATGGCTGTGGGTGGGGGGCGAGCCTCGAGGTTGGGAGCTCGCAGGACTCGCCCTGGGCTGCCGCCCGCCTCAGCCGCTTCCTAACAAAGAAGGCAGGCGAATCCTTCGGCCCGGCGCAGCCGGAGCGCCCCGGGGATCGCCGTTCCGCTCCCCTTCCTCGATGCCTGCCGTCGTCCCCCCTGCCCGCACCGCGCCGAGCGGTCCCGGCGTTTGGGTGGGGCCGAGGCGGCTCTATTGTCTGCTCCGCCGCCCTCCTCGCCCCCCGCCCTACCTGCGCACCGCGCTTTCTCCCCTCGCGCGGGTGACCGCCGCCCCCTCCGCGGTGCCCTTACCGCCATGTGGCGGTGTCCGTTTCGTTAATCTCATTGTGTACGACCGCTTTAACGGGTTCACACCCGGCTCGCAGCGAGCATGCTCGAGGGGAGGGGGAGGGAGTGGGGGTGACGCCTTTCCTCGGCTCCGCACCCCCGGGCCTCGAGGCGTCAGGGAGCGCGGGACTCGGCGGGCCCGGGCGGAGCTGGAGCCGGACCTGGAGCTCGCGCGGAGCGGCTCTTGGAACAAAGGGAACTTCGGGAAGGTGCCTGGAAGGGTCGTGGTCAGCGCCGCTCTTTGGCAGCTGTCTTCTCAATACGGCTTTGGCTTGGCGGAACAGTAACTAACAAAAAACACTTGAAAAGCCCTTCCTAAATATGGGCGGATTCTCAGTGCAGCACGGCGGGTGCCAGGTGTGATGTTAAGAATAGTGCTTTGCTGAGGCACGCTCAAATACCTCAGAACTGGGAGAATCTTCTAATGAACCTTCATCTAGCATTGGCAGAAATGATCACTTAACGGTTTAAGTAATTGCTCTTTTGCTTCAGTTACTTTTTCTGTTAATCTCATTAAGTCTTTGCAAACTGTTACGCTGTTAAGAGCAGTGGTTTCGCTACTGTAGTAGAAGAAAGATGATGTAATGGTAAGTGCAACAGATGTGGCATAAAAAAACGCAGGCACTTCTTCTGTATAAGGAAAAAAAAAATGGCACTGGCAATTCAGGATCATTGTATCATCTCCGTTCAGAAGGGAGAAGCAGCAAATTTTAGGAGTGTTCTTGGATTTCTTAAAACGCATGACCCAATTGGCTGGGGTCTTCCCATTGATTATGTATTTGGAGATGGATTTTGTAATGAAAATCAGGTTAGCAACAGTAAATACCCATTTCAGACATTTTCATTATTTTCTTACCGTGGTCTTGAAGTCCCATAGACTGGGAAAGTGTTTCTGAGTTGCATCTCCAGTGCAGTAGGCACCAAGCCTCAAAAAATCCAAGTGCTGTTTGCAGTGGTGCTGGCGCTGCAAATTCTGACATCGTCTTTGTGTGGAATTCACAGCTTTGGTGTATTCACCATAGAAAACACAGCTTGTTCCATTCTGACTTTTTTTATAGTTCTAGTGTTTTATTAAACTGTTAGAAGAGGGAACGTGTCCCTTCCCTACCTGCATCGGCTTCATTTGGGAGCACTGGGTGCATTGGAAATACCATTCTGTTGGTGTACTGAAATGTTTTTAACATCAGCCCGGTAGCCTGCCCCAAATTAATTTTTCTGATTGAAGAAATCTAGACAGAGGCTGCAGTCCAGTCGTCAGTGTTGCAAGCAGCACTGCGGCTCATGCCAAATTTTACTCTTTGCTGTAATTGTGAAGATTAATTGCCTTCACAGGGTTCTTTAAAAAGAAACTTAGTTTTGATAAGTGACACCAAAGAGAAGAGCAGTGGAGATAAAATGCCTGGATTGAATTCTGGGAAACCATTTAGTTTTATAGTTTGAGTTACGCAGTCAAGACATAACAGTGAGCGTTGGTTATTAAACGCTGTAATACAGACACCTCATGTTTACATTTGGCAGTGCTCAGCCCGTGCAGCTACCTGCTACAAGAGCCAGCAGTGCTCTCTCAGCATAGTGGGCTTTCTGTGTATGTTGGGAGTGCTGCTTAGTAATGCAGGCTGTAAGGCTGAATCTCTCTGCAGAGTGCTGCGTCCTCCTGGCGGTGGTTCCAACTTTTCCTTGGGTTTTGATGAACCAAAAGAACAGCCCACACGAAAGAACAAAATGGCATCCAGCATCTTTGGAACTCCTGAAGAAAATCCACCTTCCTGGGCTAAATCGTCGGGTAAGAACACTGCTTTCTTTGCAGGTTTGCTGACATGCATTAATCCATTTTTGGGATTGGCCTGAAGCTGCTGGTGTCTGTGGTTGGAAACTGAAGTTCATTTCTTGCTTTGTAGATCAGGGCTAGAAATTAGCATTACTGACGTGGGATTTATTATTATTATTATTTATTTAATATGTAAACATCGGACCTAGGTGTTGTTGCAAGCAAGTAGCTAAGAGAGACTGTATTTTTGGATGCAATTTCTCCAGATTAATTATGTTAGAGTAGGGCAAACTTGTGACTTAGTATATGGGATAGTACTTATTGTTCTTGATCAATCAGAGAAAGCTTTGCTTTGTGTTGTACCTGCAGCTGGGATTAAATTTCCATTTCTGTAGATCATTTCCTAAACAGATGGCCCTGGGACCCTGCTATCCATCTAAGCGATGCCCTCAGCTGCACAAAATGCTCTTGTAATTTGTGAGTCATTATGTAAAGAACCAGGACAAACTTTGAATGGTAAAGCTTTAATTCAAAAAAGAAGTAGAGGGAGGAGGAAAAGAAAATAAAACATGCCACATCACTTTTTCATCTACTTTCTCGGTAAGTTTATCTTGCAACCTAATTAGAATCAATCTCTGCTGCTAGGGACAAAGCCAGGTGAAATCAGAGAAGACACTGAACCATCTGGAGCACAGAGAAACTCAACTGATGCTAACTGTGGAGATGTAGATCCAAAGGTCAGTATTGCTTCCTGTAAAGAGCGTGGTAATGGGCTACATTGCTCTCTGGCTGCTTTGTCAGTGACATACGCACAGTTGAAAGCCCTGTAGAGTTTGAAACCTTGTTCTTAAATCTGTTCTTACTGTGCAGGTTCCCTTTTCCACGTGATAGTTCTTGCATGTTGTGGAAGGGTTGGATTCTTCTAAATGTGTATTTTCTAGACTCTTAACTTTCTTCCTGATGGGACAGCAGTGAAGTGGTGTGAGATCTTGCTTCAGCCTTAAGCATGCAGTTGTGTTTTAACACAAAGGTTAGCTATAGTGAACTCTGAGTTTATTGACTTACGTGGGATTTGGTCTCATACCCAGCACCATGCTTCCCAGTGGCAGGAATGCTTGTTACATTTGTGTTGATGCCTTTAGTAATGCCATCAGATGTGTTTCTTTCCATGTGAGCTGTTTACTTGATAGCGATATGGAGCATGATTCGTAGTGTTACCCTGGCTTTTGCATTATGTACAAATACAGTTAATGGGGAAAACAGGATGAGAAGTCATTTCACTGAAGGTAGGAAAAAAGAAAGGGAAGTCAAGAGTCTTAATTCTATTTTCTGTTTTATTTATTTGAATAAATGTGTTACCATTCTCAGCTTTGCAATCATGATTCTCATAATAGAAAATATTTTAATGTTCTGCAGTGATTAAAACTACAGACAGAAGCTAGAGCTTCTGAGGGGGATTTTTGTGTACTAATATCCTGACAACTGAAAGTTCACTTTGTAGTTATCAACTTTCATAGACTGAATGTTGCTAAAACCTTATGCTATTGTGGAACCCTTGCTGCTGCTAGAGGACTTGCTGTATCTTTGTGTCAAGTTACGTTCTGAAGAGGTTGATCATGAAGAGAATGTTTAGCTGCTTATGTAATGAAAGAAATTTTATCATTGTCAAAAACTGGTATCTCAAAAGCTAAATACACCGGATGGAATGAATGTTCTTGGTTTTACTAGCAATTACACGTTAGGTGTTGGAAAGAGTCACTTAGGGAAAAAGAGGAGACACTGATGGCTAATGGCTTAATTTATTGTCATTGCTGCTTGACAGTTCCAGTGTTCTGGTTCCTGTCAGTTCTGCCTAATGAGGGGTGCTGTGCACAGTAGTGCTCACGGCCACCCGCATCTTTCACAGTGTGGGCATCGCATGTACACTGATGTTACATGTCATTGGGATTACTTCAACTGTATCTTTGTTTAAACTTCTAGAGTTGTGTTACATAACTGACCAGTTGATGAAGTAAAACTGTTCACTGTAGGAATTGGTGCTTACAAATCCATTGTTTTAAATCTCTTGAAACATGCATCTAGAACCATTTGCTCTACTCTGGTATCTGCCTGTAAGAGTGGTGTCAGTCCAGAAGTGCTTCAGTGGGTCTGTCAGAATGTTGCTTGGCAGAGCAGTGTGTCCAGCTGCAATGGCTTGATCAGTCACAGTGTGAGTGCCCTCTCAATGGAAGCCAGGTAAAACTACGTTCTGAACTATAAGTTATAATGTGTTCCTCTCTTTTCTAGGGAGGAGATGGCGGTGGTGAAACATTCGGTGAGTAACTCCTTCAGGCTTGTTGTAAAAACATTTTCTCAAAATAGAAGAAGATGGGAGAAAAAAAAAATCTCAAGAGAGCTTGGTTTGCCATTTGAACCCATCAGATCATGAAATTACCTAAGTGCTTCGTCAGAAATTGCTGGTGGTGATACAGAATGTAATAGCAGAATGCCTCTGTTAGACATCATGTTAAAAACGAGAGCAGTCCTGTTCATTTATTTTGCCAGCAGCAGCAACTGGTATCAAGATCTAAATTTGTAAGGCAAGGTGGATACCATCCAAAGACTTGTGTGATTGATAGATTGTACTGCATTGTAGTAGCTTGTAATTAAATAGTACAGTCAACTCCAGAGATTTCAGGTTTTGCTTTTACCTCTGTCTTATTGTCTTCCCACACAGCAGACGCTCAATTCACAGAAATAATCAAGAACAGCTATTGCATCTGAAAGCATCCTCATTTATTAGATTTCAAGTTCCTGATGCTTTTTAAATACTGATTTTTTGTAAGGAACTAAGTAATCATAATGCAGATTTCACCTGGCAGAATGTATGTTTATCTTGAGGGCTTTTTATGTAGCTCTGGTGCTGGAAATCTCTCCTTAGCAAGATTTTCGTTGAGAATAGCTGACTTCCTGATGTGAGGAATATGTCTGTTCACCAAGTACTTCTAAGTGTTACTTCTAACACCTTAGAATTATGGAAGATCTTTAAAGATCTCCATATCCTGAACTGACTTCTGCTGGGAAGGTGAAAAGTTTTCCAGAGTGCCTGCTAACTACCTCTGAGTGTAGTATTTCTGGCCAAAAAGCTCTTTGGAGCATCTTGCTCTTCTAGCAGACTGTGATGCAGCATGCTGCTTCTAGTAGAACTATGCAGGCTTGCTCAGTATTTCTTTCTCAAGACTGTCTGCTCTTAATTGGCATCCTAGTGTGCGCACTTAGAGTTCATGCCTCAGGCAGGAGAATGTGGTTTTGATACTTTTTTGAGTCTGCAGGCTCTGCTCTTCTCCTGGTACTTGTTAAAAGCAGCTCACTGTGGTGTCGGGAGGAGTGGTGAGGCAAGAACAGATGAGATTGGAGGCAGCAGAAATAGGACTGCTTGGGTTAGCAACAGCTGTCCGAAACAGAGTGAAAAAATGATATGCTGGCTCTTGGAAGTTGCCATTCTCACAGGTTGAGTGTTTGTGGGCCTTTGGAGTGGTTCCAGAAGGTGACAGGAAAATGTTCTTAGCAAGTGCTGAGTAAATGTATGCTGGAAAGGGGTTTTCCAAACAAGTAAAGTAACAACTTAGCATTCCCAACTGAAGTTTACTGCTGTTGTGGCTATGGCAAAAATTAAATTTTTGAAGAGAGTCCTGGCAAAATAAAAATGTCAGCACATGTTTGGCTGTTAAACTTCTGTTGACGGTACTTCGAAAGGAGTAGAAAGCTAGTGCTCACTGGAAGTGGTGTATATGACAAGTACCTGAGAATCTTGATGTGCTGTTAAATTAATCTCGTCCTTGTTGGCTTTGGGTATTTTACCTTAATGTGGAGTACAGAGTCCTGTTGAGCTAGTCGTGTCACTTCACCGCTTCACACTCCTGCTGTGCGAGATATCAGACATGAGCTGGTGAGCGTCCACTTATCGTGCATGTGATTTTTGCACTTGACATTATATGGCTGTTTCCTGGGCTTTCAAGGGAACGAATATGCTTCCAAAAAAAGCTATTTGCTTACAAACTCACAGCATAACTATAGTTTTAATAAGCTTCCATCATTAAAAGATGTTTCCTCTTCCGGTTTTGGAAATGATTTTCTGTATGTAACTGATTGTAAAAACTTAAGGTAAGTGTCCGGAGGGATATGTACTTTCTATTAGTCATGTCTGTCTAGGAGAAGAGAACTTGTGCCTTTTGCAGAAATGTTTTTGCTTCTTGTTTGAACGCTGTAGTTCCTTTTGCACATCAAAAGTTCCAGTAGTTTGAAGCGTACTTGGCAGCAAACTAACTCGGAGATTATACCCTTTCTGATAAGGAAAGAACTTCAACATCTGATCTGAGAAGTGCCAGTGTATGTATCGGATGGCTGAAGGAGTCTGTAACAAGCTGTAGAAACTTTCCGGAAGTCTCCTGTGATAGGAAGTTTTTTGAAATTCAGTTAGCACCTTGTACTTGATTAATGGGACTGACTAAAGAGAATTAGACAGCACTTAAGACGGTCACAAGTGACTGTAATTACATTAAGGTGAAATCTGGTGTTCAGTAGAAAGTTTGTCATCATGAGTTCTTCGCAGTACTCCAGCAGTCTGCTTGAAGCACGGGCTGCTGTGAATGAAGCACTGGGGGCTGTGTGAATGGGTGGCTGCCATTGTTCCCAGCTTGCTGAGTAAGCAGGCAGCAGCATACATGAGCTGCAGAGGCTTTGAGCTTAAGGCTTTGTATTTAACTGCTTTGTTCTCATGTGCTTGTGGGTTGGTGAAGGCAGCAGAGAATCTGAGGTTGCATGGAAACTATAAGCTGCCAGAGTTCTTGGAGATTATTATAAGCATGGATGTGCAGAGGGTCACAAGTGGGTTTTGTGTTTCTGATAAAATCTTGCATCAAAGGTTTTTTAAAAAGCAATGCTAAGTTGCCACAGCATTGGTGAAAAGCATCTCCTGTAATAAAAAGCTAGATAAAAAACAGCAGGTGAAAGGCAGGATTTAGTAATTGCTGTTGGGGCAGTGGGAAGTGGTGCTGGGATTAGTTTTATTGGGTGCCTTCATCCATGACCTGGAAGAGGTAATGAACAGTTAAGTCTTCGATTTTGCTGGCAATGGCTAAGTTTTGTCAAGTGGTCAAAAGTGCTGATGGTGAGAAAATCTTGCTGTGTTTAGGCCTTTGGCTTGTAACTAATTCTGTTAATCTGCAAAAATGTGAGATGCTAATGATCTCGTGGTCCTCATTAACTGTCAGTGAAGTAGATACATAAATTATTTGCTAGAGTATCTAAAGTGCTTCCTGTGAGTAATTCCTTCTGTGTCCTGTCTTGTGGTTGTTGAGAACTACTTAAAACAGACGGAACTGGCATGTGCTTTCCAGGGAATGTAAATTTGAGCCTGCCCGTACGTGGATTTGCATTCCCTGGTCTGCTCTATGCGAAGTCCCAGAGGTGTCAGATATTCTCTCCTCTAACAAAATTGGGAATGTGGTGTGAATCTTAACTCCTGCTTGTAAGTACTGATGCTTCTGTGACTCCATTTCCAGCACTTGCTCAGATTTGAGTTAAAATTATTAGGGTGGTCACACACTATGTACAAGCCTTGATTGCAGCTGCTTGTCAGTTAAAAAATAAAAAAAATTGAATCACTGGGGTCCCCTAATAGCATCTAAGAGAATGCAACTCTTAAATGCCTGAAACTCAACTGAAGGCATCAGGGTTCTGAAAAATATTTCAGGCAGCTGGAAGTCTGTCTTGCCAACAGATGACAGCAGCTCTGTGTGACTGTAAGGCTGGAGAAAACTCAAAGGAGTCGATCTTCTGCCTAAGCCAGAGAAACCCTCTGGCTTTTATCATCCACATCAAACACCTTAAAAAAGCTTCTTTTTTTCTAGAAAACACTGAGGCTGATGTAGAGGCTGCTCCAGGTCAGAATGAAGAAAAATCCCTGCCTGCTGCACCTGTTCCTAGCCCAGTAGCACCCGCACCTGCACCATCCAGGAGAAATCCACCCGGTGGCAAGTCCAGCCTAGTCCTCGGTTAAACCTTCCTTTCCTGACTTGAACTTGTGTCTGTTTTTGCCCACCCTTCCCCCCCATGCTTGTGAACTGCACAACTTGAGCCTGACTGTACATCTCGAATTTCTTTCAATTAAAAAGAAGCACTTTATGTACTCTTTTTTTTTTTTTTTTTCAGATCAAGGTTTTTTTTCCACTTGTGTCCTGTGTTTTTCCCCTAGATCTGCTGGAAGTTACATGAGTGTTTTCTAGTGATAGACTTGAGGGAAAGCTTTATGAAGTATAGTAATGTAATTCAAAGGAAAGTAGATAGGTTCTAAGCGTGCTTTAGAGGGTTTTTGTACTGAGATTTTTAGAACCCCTTAGCTACACAAGGATCTGAAGTCCTGGTTAAAGCGGCCAGCAAATGATCAGCAAGAGTGGTCCCTTCTTCCACATGTGAACTTTGGGGATCTAAAAGAATTCATTGTCTGTGTAGGGTGAATGCCTTGAGCCCTGCTGTGCCATTTAAAGTGGTTAGGGTACACCATGCTGCCTTTAAAAAAAACATTGGTACTGGACTAGTGTAAAGCAGGGTATGTGCCAAATAGAGGGCTGATGATCAGAGTCACCTGGCCTGAGGGTAGGAGGGGCTTTGTTTGGACTTTATTCAGCAAAGGTGGAGTGGATTATAGAAATAAATAAAAATTTACAGGGTTTTGTTTTTTTTTTTTTTTTTTTTTTTAAATACAACTGACTCAATGCTGTGCATGATCATGCTGGTGCTTGACCATGAGGTGAAAATCTCATTCTTTAAAGTGTGTGTTGTAATTTCATGAAGCTGGACTGTTGCTTAAAGTAAATAATATAGAAATTTTGAAGCAATGTTTCCTGCGTGGATTTTATTTTGTGGGTTTGGTTCTGCATTGTTCTCAGTTGTCCTGCCCTAATCTGAACAGAGTTGGGATGGAGCAGAAGAGGAGAGTGCATGCACCTGACTGGGGGTACCATCACATGCTGTCTCCGTGTTAAAAGTCAAACATCAATTTTCTCAAAGAAGCATGCAGTGTGTCTTGGTACATGCGATCTGTTTTACCAAACAGAGGAAATGAAAGTTTCTCCTCAAAACCAAATTAGACTCTGTGGCAGCGCTGCTAAGTCAGGGCCTGAACAGCCTGACAGAGGTGACCGAACGCCTGGTGGGAAGGCAGGGCTGGCCGGGAGCTCAGTGTGTGCGGCACAGCCGCTGTGTCTGCCAGCCTGCCTTCCCACTCCTGAAAAGCTCTGAAAATGCCCCAACTTCCCGGTGAGGCATGGAGAACCCCCTCCTTTACATGCTGACTATCAAACTGGCTTTGCTCTAGTGGCCTTTCTTTGCACAGCAGGTAGGGAATGTAGTCTGGGTTCATGTAAACCATGCCTACCCTTTTCCTGGCCTAGGAGGGGGGAAGTAAGTAGCGAAGTTGTATTTCCTTTGCGAGCCCCACGAGCAGCAGACGTGGCTACATCTCCTTCACTTGCAAGGAGATGAGTTTGGGCACACCAGGCTGTCTGCTAAAAAGGTGCCCAGTGTGCACAGAGGAGCTGCTTGCTCACAGCAGAGCTATCACACCCCAGTTGGCTTTTGTGTTTTTAAGCTCTCTCTGGTGTGTTTCAAGCTGCGGTGAAGGGGGAGGAAGCAAAACTCTGAAACTCACAGGCAGCGTTGTCTTTCAGGAAGCACTGTGCTAAAGGACCAAACTGATTTATGTTTTTAGGCAGTTAGCCACCCTGGCTTTTGAGTTACCTTTTGCATGATTGGCTGATAATGAAAGGAGAGCAAAGTGGCTTCAACTTCTGGCCCACATGCATTAGTAAGAGCAGGCAGAGGCTGGGCTGCAAGTGTTCTAGAGAAGTATTTACAAGCTTACAGATAACTGTTTACACAATAGTTAAGTTAATGTTTTACTAAGATAAGGCTTTTCTTGTGAACCTGAATGCCATAAACTCTTTCTACCTGCACGTTTCTCACCCGTGGTAATGAGAGAAATACAGCTTTCTACTTCCTGACTTAAAGGATAGCTATCACCTGTTCTATGGCATGACGATAAGACAGTATATTTAGTACCAAATATGTAATAGGATTGCAAAGTACCAGGCAGGGAAACACCTTTCTTCTGCAGGAAGGATAAAGTTTGGGTCATTTCAAAGTCATTTGAGTTGACAGTGGAAAGTTCACAGAATCACAGAATTGTAGGGGTTGGAAGGGACCTCCAGAGCTCATCGAGTCCAACCCCCTGCCAAAGCAGGTTCCCTACAGCAGGTCGCACAGGTCGGCATCCAGGCAGGTCTTGAACATCTCCAGAGAAGGAGACTCCACCACCTCCCTGGGCAGCCTGTTCCAGTGCTCCGTCACCTCACTGTAAAGAAGTTCTTGCGCACATTGGTGCAGAACTTCCTATGCTGCAGTTTCCAGCCGTTTCCCCTTGTCCTGTCTCCACTCACCACTGAAAAGAGTCTGGCCTCGCCATTCTGCCCCCCACACTTCAGATACTGATAGACCTGGATCAGGTCCCCTCTCAGTCTCCTTTTCTCAAGACTGAACAGCCCCAGTTCACTCAGCCTTTCCTCACAACAGAGATGCTCCAGGCCCCTCACCACCTTTGTGGCCCTCCGCTGGACTCTTTCCAAGAGATCCCTGTCTGTTTTGTACTGGGGAGCCCAGAACTGGACGCAGAGCTCCAGATGAGGCCTCACCAGGGCAGAGTAGAGGGGGAGGATCACCTCCCTCGACCTGCTGGACACGCTCTTTTTAATGCACCCCAGGATGCCATTGGCCCTCTTGGCCACAAGGGCACACTGCTGGCTCATGGCCGACCTGTCGTCCACCAGGACACCCAGGTCTCTTTCCGCAGAGCTCCTCTCCAGCAGCTCATCCCCCAACCTGTACTGGTGCATGCAATCATTCCTCCTCAGATGCAAGACTCTACACTTGCTTCTGTTAAACCTCATCCGGTGTTTTTTCTGCCCAGCTCTCCAGCCTGTCCAACTCTCGCTGAATGGCAACACAGCCTTCAGGCTGTCAGCCAATCCTCCCAACTTCGTATCATCACAAACTTGCTGAGGGTGGCCACCATCCCCTCATCAAGGTCACTGATAAAGATGTTGAACAAGACCGGACCCGGCACCGACCCCTGGGGGACACCGCTGCTTACAGGCCTCCAACCGGACTCTGCACCGCCAACGACGACCCTTCTGCACTCTGCCAGTCAGCCAGTTCTCAACCCACCTCACTGTCCACTCATCTATCTATCTATTGCTGGAATCAAGGCAGACTACATCCACTGCTCTCCCCCCATCCACCCAGCCAGAGACAACATCATAGAAGGCCACCAGGTTGTGGCAAAATCAGCAAAAAGTTGTGGAAGTGATAGAAGCTGAACAATGACCCAAGCAGAAAAAGTAACTGTTAGAAAGGGTTAGACTTGCAAGCTGGTGCTGAGCTGCACTCAGCAACCTGCTGTCCAACAGCCATGGCCTTTTATTTAAAAATATTTGCTTCCAGTTTCAGCTGAGTTCTTGGCTTGCTACAGTGCTCTACTGTCCTCTTCAATAGTAACTAAAATTCAATGCTAGTCTGATTTCCTTCCTTTATTGTTCTCATCACTCTTGACCTACTGAGCATTAGCGGGAGACCTGAGAAAACAGGGAGGTGCCCGTCTCAACAGCTTCAAGCTGCTCTGACAGCTTCAGTCCTTAGGGAGAGGAATCCCTACTGCTGTGTGTTTGCTTAAGTTCTTGGCCTCTTCCACCTGCAGAGGTGTGCAGTAATCCTCCAGGAAGACCGTTGCCAGATTGCTCAGCCTTCTGTTGGCCGAGAGAGAGAAGCGAAGCATGCACTCCACCACTGGGAGAGGTGTGGTCTGCTGGCATGACTGCGGTGTTGTCAGATACATCAGGGTTGTGACTGCTGACATGACTGTCTCTTCATTGGAGCTGGAGAGGCAATTTATTATGGGCTCTACTCCACTGGCCTCCAGGATATAGTCTTTGTTAGTTTTATCCAGGCACAGGTTGCAAAGACCACCTGAAATAGCGAAAAAAGCATCTGATACATGCAAAACAAATTCTTTCTGCACCCTCATCCAGACACACTCCACACTCTTAAAGGCACCTTATTTGGGAATAAATGGCAACAGTCTGAGTGCTTTTCATATCTTTGTATGCACTTTGGTCCTAACCTGTGAGATGCTTGCCCTGAGTTGTCCTCAGATAGCTGCGTGATCCTTCCTTCTTTTCATAAGACAACACACAAAAATATTTTTCCTGAATGGTAAGAGGAAAATCAGTCCTCAAGATACAAAGAACTATATGATAGATTTTTAATTGTCTGATGTAACCTTTTTTCTTTTTTCCAACTCAGTGCAGTAACGGCAATTATTTCCTTAAATGCAACTGCATAAATATCCCCTTTTTCTAAAGCGCCGATTGATATTTGGCAATTCCTGTTCTCTAGCACAGACACAAGCTTCCAGGTTTTGTGAGAACTGGAAAACTTCAAAGCTCTTCAAGAAATCTTCTCTTGATTCTTCCCTGAGATTTGCCAACAGGGCTCCTGCACGTCCTTAGAGGGCACTGCACGGCTGCACACGACGCGTGCTGCAGCACCAAACACCCGCGTCACAGCACCAAAGGGGCTGTAAGGCACCTTTTTCTTATTTTTGCTTTTTCCCCAGTTTATTACAGACGTTTTAGAGAAACAGAAAAAGGCATATGGATGCACTAAGGATGCTGTCCTTACCCATAGCAAATTCCACGAGGGTCTCGTTGTCTTCGGTCAGCATGTCGAGGAACAGGTCCAGCACCTGGAGCTGCCGCAGATACTCGTAGTTCCTGGGGTCGTAGGCGAAGTT